CCGGCCACGCGTTGCTGTGGTGTAGTGTGTTGTTATGGAAAATTAAGTAATGACAAAGTAGTGGTATTTAAGAACGGTTATTTACTAATACTTGTGGATACACAATATTTTTGGTTGTTCCTGTTTTAGTGTTGATGTAGAGATTTTGTGGTTTGCCGACTCTAGAACAGGGGTAACATTTTTATTTATTTATTTATTTAATACACTTGTATACCGCTAATATCTCAGCCTAAATCGGCGACTCATTGCGGTTTACAGCAATTAAAAGCAATGTACAATTTAAAACAACAACACGTAAACAATACAAATTATTGGGCCACCAATAATAATACCATGCTTCTCGTCACAAAAATCACAGTCCAGAGTTCGTCATCCATAATTAACCAGTCCTTAGTCTATAAATTCAATAGTAACAAACTAATTGAATGCTTGTTTACACAACCATGTTTTTAATCTCTTCCGAAAGACCATCAGCGAAGAGGCTGATCGTATCTCTATAGGGAGGGTGTTCCAAAGCCGAGGGGCCACCACAGAGAAGGCCCTGTCTCTCGTTCCCGCCAGCCGCACTTGGGAAGCCGGGGGGATAGAGAGCAGGGACTCTCCAGAAGATCTTAGGGTCCTGGTGGGCTGATAGGCTGAGATACGTTCGGATAGATAAGTTGGGCCAGAACCGTTTAGGGCTTTAAAGGCCAACGCCAGCACTTTGAATTGAGCCCGGTAGCAAATCGGCAGCCAGTGGAGCTGGTGCAGCAGAGGAGTTGTATGCTCCCTGCGCCCCGCTCCTGTTAGTATCATGGCTGCCGCCCGTTGGACTAGTTGGAGCTTCCGGACTGTCTTCAAAGGCAACCCCACGTAGAGAGCGTTGCAGTAATCAAGGCGGGATGTAACCAGAGCGTGGACTACCGTGGCTGTCCATGTGAAAAGCATTCGGTGTCTAGATCTATGCCACACAATTGTAATGATTGTCCTTGTGCTTTGTTGATTGTGTTTGCAAAAGCCAGTCGAATAGGGAATTGGAGCCTGGTGAATTGAAATGGCATATCTGTAGGAATCATTGGAATGCGTGGGATCAGGACGTCTTCTCCTTTGAATGGTCCTGTCAGGATTGTTGCTTCGATGACATTGTGCATTATTTATTTATTTATTTATTTATTACTTGCACTTATTAACCGCCACTCTCAGCCCTAGGGCGACTCGTGGCGGTGTACAAAAACATAGAAAAGACATTTTACAATAGGTCAAGACAGCACAACAACATTCTACTACTACATAACATCTACTTATACTAAAAATCTGCTTCGTCTTATCATGTGGTCATAATCAATCTCATAGTCATGTCCATTCCGGTCAACATTTCCAATAACATAGCACTTGCATTAATTTTTTCACTGCTAGACGTGTGCCGTTACACAGTTTTGGTTGATCGATGTTTCTCAACATGATAATATGGATGCCCACTTTTAAATGTAGTATGTGTGGTGGTAGCCCTGGGAGATCCAAAGAATTCAAGAATTCTGTGGGGTATTTAACAGCCTCATCCGGTTCCACAACAGTGTCGATCGATTTGTATGTTATTGATTCACTGGGAATGGTGGACTGTATGATATGGTTCAGTGTATAGACGTCTGTGTTTTTTGGTGCTAGAATAGCTCGTTGACTTATCCAGTCGTGGTTTTTGTAGTTGTTTTGTATGTTTGGAAATACATTTTCTATCAATTCTTGTTTTGATTTCACAGTAGTGCAGAAGTTCGGTGGGAATGTAATGTGGCCTGTGGTCTGATCTGGTGGTATGTGACCATTTCCTATGTCTAGCAATTGTTGGGAGAATATTTCTGCTGACGGGTCTTTCTGGAGTTGGACACGCATATTGGTTGTTAAACGTAATGTTTTAACATGTCGCCACAAAATGGAGTATTTAAGGGAAGCATTGATTTCATCAGCTGGTGTGGATCGTGGTATGACTGGTAATGTTTGTCTAAAATCTCCTGCCAAAAATATTATTGTACTTCCAAATGGCGTTTTGGTGCCACGTAAATCTTGTAGTGTTCTATCTAGAGCTTCAAGGGATTTCTTGTGTGCCATTGTGCATTCATCCCAAATTATAAGTTTGCATGTCTGTAGTACTTTCCCCATGCTGGATGTTTTGGAAATGTTGCAATTTGGGGTTTCAATGTATTGTAAGTTTAATGGTAATTTCAAAGCAGAGTGCGCTGTTCTTCCACTTGGTAGTAACGTTGCTGCTATTCCTGAGGAAGCAAGACCCAAGGCTATGTTATTTTGAGATCTAATTGTTGCCAGAATCAGTCTAATGAGAAATGTTTTGCCAGTTCCTCCTGGTGCATCTAAAAAGAAGATTTCTCCTTTTCCATTCTGAACAGTATCCATTATTTGATCGTAAGTTTGTCTTTGTTCTGGTGTAAGCTTAGGTATATTAGATTGTACATAAGTACACTGTTCTGTTATGTTGTAATGGAGTTCTTGATGGAATTGTGCCTTGAATGTAGGAGGTGTCTGTCGATTTGGTGTTGGCATTCCCAGTAATTTCAGAGGTTTGTTTGCGACTTGTAAGCAATAATCCTCAATCATGATCAGTACTTCATTGTATATTTGTGTGTTGTGTTCCTGAGAGATTTCGGTGTGTCCCTTATTTGTTTGATGGAAAATATCTTCAGCCATGTGCGATTTATATTTCTCCCATAACTGTGATGGAGATGATGGAGAGCAGGCGGTCAAAATGATGACAAATAGTGACCGAATTTGTTTGGGATGTGATGTGTTGCATGCTTCAGTGATGCAGTCTTCCCAGTGGTGGTCGTTCTCCAACAAATTGAGAGCTTGACAGGCACTGCGGGCATCCTCAGAGGTTGTGAGAGTTATTTCAGTAAGGGTACTTTCCCCCTATTCAAAGTCCCAGGTTTTTGAACATAAGCGTTCTCTTCTAATTCCTTTTATTAGATTTCTGCATTTCTTAAATGATATCCCAATGTTTTTTATAGCCTTCAGCCCCTGAGGAGGACACATTTAAGACTGCTCAGTGTTCCTTCCCAAAAAGTGTTTGTAATGAGTTATTGTAAGTTTTTCAACCTGTATGGCCATGTTCCAGAAGCATTCTCTCCTGACGTTTTGCCTGCATCTATGACAGGCATCCTCAGAGGTTGTGAGAGTTATTTCAGTAAGGGTACTTTCCCCCTATTCAAAGTCCCAGGTTTTTTCTCTTCTAATTCTAATAAAGCGTTCTCCTCTAATTCTAATTTTTGAACTGGTTTTTTCATGTCAGTAGATAGTGTCAATAATGCTCTAATTTTTTACCAGGTTAGAGAACTTGCGTAAGGGAGCTCGTGGCTGAGAAAAAGAGAGGCCCGAAGGAAATGTCTGAAGTGTTCCCTTTTGCGGAAATGGCGAAAATGGCGGCGGCAGGGGAGGAGGGATGGTTTTGACAGTTTGGAGGGGGCGGGGCTTGGAGGTGGCGTGAGCAGGGTAAGATGGAGGGCGTGAGCGGGGTTAGAAGGGGGAAGAGGGTGGGCGGGGTTAGAAGGGGCGAGGCGAGGTGGCGTGGGCGGGGTTAGAAGGGGGGGAGGGATGGTTTTGACTGGGGGAAGAGGGTGGGCGGGGTTAGAAGGGGGCGAGGCTTTGCGATGGCGTGGGCGGGGGTTAGAAGGGGCGGGGGAGGGATGGTTTTGACTGGGGGAAGAGGGTGGGCGGGGTTAGAAGGGGGCAGGGCTTGGAGGTAACGTGAGGAGGGTAGAGGGGGGGGGGAAGTTGCGTGATGCGTGTGTGGGCAGGAAGGGGGCGGGGGGAAGTTGCGTGGTGCGTGTGTGGGCGGGAAGGGGGTGGGGGGAAGTTGCGTTGCGTGTGTGGGCGGGAAGGGGGTGGGGGGAAGTTGTGTGGAGTGTGGGCGGGAAGGGGGTGGGGGGAACTTGCATTGCATGTGTGGGCGGGAGGAAGATGAAGGAGGGGGTGGAGGGAAGGGGGCGGGGGAAGTTGCGTTGCGTGTGTTTGTGTGTGTGTGGGGGGGGCCGCGGAAGCATGCCGGGCTTGGAGGCCGCATGAGCGTAAGAGGGAGGAGGGGGAGGTGGGATGGGTTTTGACGGTGCGGGAAGGGGGCGGGGGGAAGGTGCGTGGTGCGTGTGCAGCGGAGGCGTGTTTGTGTTCTGGAGGAGCGGAGGCTCCGCGGGAGCGGAGTGCGGCCAGAAGGGAGGGAAGTGCAGAGGGTGCGTTGGCCGTTCGGCCATGTGTGCACGCGCGCTGGGGACTTTGCGCCAGTGCGCATGCTCAGTTGTTTTGTCGGTTTATCTGTGTGTTGTTGTGTTGTTTTTATTTTTGAGTGGATTAGTTTGTACCGAGTGGGTTGTCCTAGGGGCATGTCTATTTTGGTTCAGTTTCGTTGGTGGGTTGTGGAGTTTTGCTGTCCCGTTGAACTCTCCTAACAGATTTATATATATAGACTAGCCGTCCCCTGCCATGCGTTGCTGTGGCCCAACCTGTGTACATGTGTTTTGTGTGTATATATACATATACATGTATATGTGTGTCTATATTTGTGTGTATGTGTTTTGTGTGTGTATATATGTGTGTATAAGTGTATATATGTGTGTTTGTGTATATATGTGGTTTTGCGCATGTATTTTTTTTTTGGCTTTTTAAGTCCCTTCCACTGTGTTTTCCAATGTTTTTATGAGTTATGGTCACTTGTTGGCCTGATATGTGTATTGTGTCCAAATCTGGTGTCAATTCGCCCAGTGGTTTTTGAGTTATGTTAATCCCACAAACGAACATTACATTTTTATTTATATAGATGACAATATCAAAAGTCACCAGATTCCGTCTGATTTTGGAAGCTAAACAGGGTCAGGCTGGGTAAGTATTTGGGTCCTGAGGGACTTCACTTCTGCCTTTCTCTGAGGCTGAGAGAGTGTCTCTTGCTCCAGGCACACCAGTGGGTTTCCAGAGCCAAGTGAGACTGGAAGCTCTGTCTTAAAGAGGGACACTTCAAGCTTCAACCCATTACACCATGAGGCCATATGATGTCTTTATTTCACTCTGAGTATTTGCAAAAGAGTACAAGAAACTGAGTAAATTTCAGTGAACTCTCTAAAACAAACAAAAAAAAGCTGAAAAGGAGGAAACTAGTGTGCATCCCACATCCTCTCAACCGTTGAAGCGGCGACAGGGCCACAAGGCCAGGACTGGGCTGAACCTGCCAGGTGTGCCAAAAAAAAAAAAAAAGGTCCAAGATGACTTGAGTCAGTCTAGACAAGAGGGAATCAATACAAAGGCTAGGCCAGTTTTCTGTCCACATGTCTCCTTCATTGCGTGACTATTGTGGTGCCTACTGAGAACTGAATTCTCCCACGCTCTTGGCGTGTGTACGCTTTTTCTCCTGGAGCATTTGGAGACCTGATTTGAGAACACAACTCTTCCCACCCTCTGAGCATTTAGAAAGTTCTCTCCTATGAGATTCATTTCATGCTTCATGGGATTTTTCCTCTGAGTGATGGCTTTACCACATTCCAGGCATTTTCCATGGCTTCTTTCTCATATGGTTTTTTACTACATTGTGAAGCTTGTTGTGGAACTCAACGTTTTCCAAAATTCAGGAATATATACAATTTATCTTTGTATTTGGTGAATCTTTGAGGACTGATGTGCAGTTCAAACTCTTATCAGATTCCTGGCTTTTTGCCTTCTCTCCCATGTGGGTTTTCTGGTGGGCTTGAGACTTCCTCTCCAATGGAAGCTCTTCCCGCACTCCAGACATGTCTTTGGTTTCTCTTCTCTATGACTATTCTGGACATTTGTAAGGTCTGATTTGTAGCTAAAACTCTTCCCACTCTCTCCTGTATGACTCTTCTGGTGAACTCTGAGAACAGATTTAAGGCTGTAACTCTTCCCACACTCCAGACCTTTGTAGGCCTTTTCTTCTTCTAAGCATTTTTATGGCTTCTCGCCTATGTGAGCGTATCGGTGCAGCTTTAGATCCCTTGTCCAGAAGAAACTCTTCCCGCACTCCAGGCATTTATATGGCTTCTCTCCCATGTGAGTGTTTTGGTGCACCTTTAGGCTGTCTCTCCAAGACATTTATAGGGTTTCTCTCCTCTGTGTTCAATTGCATGTCCAATAAAACTTCTCCAATCGGAATAACCTTTTCCACACTCCTGGCATTTATAGAGGTTCTCTTCTCTGTGATTCAATTCATGCCTAATGAGACTGCTATTTGAAAGAAAACCTTTTCCACACTCCAGGCATTTATAGGGTTTCCTCTCCTCTGTGTTCAATTTCATGTCCAATAAGACTTCTCTTATCAGAATAACCTTTTCCACACTCCTGGCATTTATAGGGTTTCTCCTCTCTGTGATTCATTTCATGCCTAACGAGACTGCTATTTGAAAGAAAACCTTTTCCACACTCCAAGCATTTATAGGGTTTCTCTCCTCTGTGATTCATTTCATGCCCAATGAGACTGCTATTTGAAACAAAACCTTTCCCACACTCCAGGCATTGATATGGCTTCTCTCCTGTGTGGGTTCTTTCGTGTTTCTTGAGGTGTCCTTTATGAAAGAAACATTTTCCACACTTCATGCATTTATATGGCTTCTCTCCTGTGTGGGTTATTTCATGTGTCTTGAGGTGTCCTTTCTGAAAGAAACATTTTCCACACTCCAGGCATTTAAATGGCTTCTCTCCTGTGTGGGTTTTTTGGTGTGCGTTGAGGGCTCCTTTTAGAGGATAGCATTTTCCACACTCCAGGCATTTAAATGGCTTCTCTCCTGTGTGGGTTATTTCATGTGTCTTGAGGTGTCCTTTCTGAAAGAAACATTTTCCACACTCCAGGCATTTAAATGGCTTCTCTCCTGTGTGGGTTTTTTGGTGTGCGTTGAGGATTCCTTTTAGAGGATAGCATTTTCCACACTCCAGGCATTTATATGACTTGTCCATAATTTGGTATTTTTCACTGTGTGTAGGATTTGTATTAGATGCCTCTTGGAAGAAGCTATTCTCAAAGACAGGGCTCTTTCCAATCTCCCCGCTTGCGTCTGTTGTCTCTTGGATTGTGATTTCCCTGCTGTCAGCAGGGCACCGGTTCCTGTTATATCCTTCCGATTCGATTCTTGGTCTTCTTTCTTCTTCCTTTTTACTTCTTGCTGTTTTTATCCACATTTTACTTGGAGTTCCGCCATCGTCACTCCCTCGTCCATCGCCACCTTGAAAGAAGAAAGACAAAAAGTAGGAAGTCATTGGAAAAGGGAAGATTAACATCAGTAAATCCCGAAATGTTGTGTGAGAGAGAAAAAGAAGAGGTAAGAATCTTTTTTTATTTATTTCCTGCATTTGTAACCCGCCCTTTCCTGTCGTAGTCACTGCGAATCATACATTTGATATTCTCTGCGCCTGCGTAGCAGCATTCGGAACCTTCTAAAAGCAAAAGAACGACAGTTAGCTAGGCCACGCCCCCTTCCCCTGGTATAAATAGCCCGTGGGCGGGGCCAACCGTCAGTTCTCTTCATCCGCGCTCAGAAAAGCAACTGGAGAACCTTCTGCTCTTGCGAGCTACCGTTTTTTTGAGGAGAGCATAATGGCTACTAATTCTTTCAAGAAATGTACTAAATGCCCTAATATTCTACCTGATAACGATGGGCATGATTTATGCCTCGCCTGTTTGAGCGAGCCCCATCTATATCAATCCTGTTCCATCTGCCAGTCTTTTACACCGCAGACCAGGAAAAACAGGATTTTAAGATTGAAGGCGGCTCTATACGAAAGGGCCCTTATACCATCACAGGAGCCGATAAAAATTGACCCTTCTCAAACTGGTGCGATAGCACCCAAAAAGAAAGTAAAGAAACCTAAAGATAAGGGAGCTCAAGATGGCCGCTTGACCGTTGGAAAGAAAATGGCCGCTCCGGAGGCTACGGGCAGTTTGTTACCTGCCCGTCATGCCGTTGAGGCCGCTTCGAGGCCGAAAGAAAAGGGGGAAGTGCTCCCTCTGCTGGCCAATAAAAATACTACACCAAGAAAAGAAAGCCATGAGGGGGAGCCGGGATCGGCAATACTCACTCCTCCGATGCCGACCCTTGAACCAAATCGGCCCCCACCTTCGAGGGATAGAATTCCCCCAGCCTCCGGAACAGATTCGCTCCAATTGAAGCCTCTAACTCAAAAGGAGGCCAGAACAAAGGAGGACTCCTTGCCCGCTCCTTCTCCTACTGACGCCGGGGTCAAGATCGGCGTGGGGGCGGGGCATAGGAGCACAGCCAAGCCTCTTGCTCTAACGCGTCATGAGGAAGCGGGACGAGCGATCGAGTCTCCGCCCGCCCGCATCGAGGCTCCGCCCGCCGATGTCGAGGGGAGACAGTCGAGCTCGGCTCCGCCCCCAAGGGATGGGGCTCTGCCTCCCAATCCTGATGATGAACTCTATGGAGGTGGGAGGCAGTCGAGCTTGGCTCCTCCCCTAAGAGATGGGTCTCTGCCTCCCAATCCAGCTGGGATGACACTAGAGGCGGCTTCTGATAGATACTCTCCCAAGCGCTCATCAAGGAGAGGAAGCAAGCACCCAAGACGCTATAGGTCTCCTTCAAGACACAGCATACGATCCCACCGCCGCCGATATCGAGCGGCTTCTAAGCATGGAAGGAGAGGGCATTCATCATCATCATCATCATCCACCTCATCTTCGTCGACCTCACGCTCTCCCTCCCCTCCTTCTAGGCGATCTAGACGTCATAAATGCCATAGGTGCAACCAGTACCCTTATCCACCTTATTGGGCACATCCTCCAATGGGTTATTACCCTCATCCAGACTGTTGCCAGGAGGGGCATTTAAACCATGGAGTGCCCATGCAACCCCCTAACTTGGGGGGGGGCATAGACAAAGATATTCACATCACAGGAGAGTGGACAATCAGAGATTGGATATACATCCTGCTGATGTGCAATACCCTTCCACATCAACAATTTCTAATGTCAGACTACAAGATGTGAATCAGGATGTTCAAGAGAGGCGGAGCCAAGCTTCTTCTACTTCCTCTGTGGCTGGAATGGTTCCCTTGAGGCCAACAAGTGAGCCACCAGTAACCATTAATGAGATGCATGGTGAAGGATCAACGTCTGCTCATGCGCAAGGTGACACAACCCCTCAAGTTCAAGAATCTACTTCTCAAGTTGAGGGAACTGAACATTTAAGCAGGCACATGGAAAGTTCTTCTGAGGAGTCTGATGTGCCTGACTACCTTTGTCAAGGGGACAATGACGCAACTTCTTTATTACAAACCACTGAGATTAATAAATTCAATGTGCTCATAGGGAGAATGATTAAGGCATTAGACCTACCCGCTCCAAAAGCACCGGAGCACGTAGACGATCCTATGTTCCCCTCCGATGAGCAGGTTTCATCGCCTGCCACTACATTACCTGTATTGCCCTACTTGCTAAAATTAGCACGTGTAGTAGATACATCTCCTATGTTAGTCCCTGCAATTCCTAGGAGGCTAGATGTGCTGTACAATAATGATATATCTTCCAATAAGTGGGTGGTTACTCCTCCCAGGCCCAATACTGTTGTAGCGGAAGTAGCAAAGACAAAGAGACCAAAAAATACCCTTACCACTCCCCCAGATAGGGAAGGAAAAAAGATTGACACCATGGGTAAAAAGGCACACCTGTCAGCGGGCCTCCTAACTCGAATGGCTCACTACGCAACCTATCTCAGTGGGTATCAAAGTTTTTTGTGGGCAAAAATACTCCCTTATTTTGAGTTTCTCCCATTAGACAAACAACGCTTCCCTAGAGCTCTACAGGCTGAAGCTATTGTATTATCTAGAATTCAAAAGGACTTCGCCAAGCATCTTGCAGAGATGGCTGGTAATTTGTATTCCACGGCTACGTCAATAAGACGTCATGCTTGGTTGCGTTCTGCCAATTTATCGGAGGAAAGGAGGGCTCTGGCAGAGGACCTTCCCTTCCATGAGGAAGGACTCTTTAATCCAGAGACTGATGTTAGGATTAAGGAAAAACAGGATGTGAGACAAGCAGCAAACAAATTTGGTTACTCATGGCAGCCATACTCCCAACAGAAGCAGCGCTGGCATCCTTATAATTCAAACTTCCGGAGAAATTCTGGCAATTTCTCTGGACCAAATAGGAGTCGTAATTTCACAAACAATAGATTCCAATCGGGAATTCCTTCTTTTCCAGAGGGAGATCCCAGACCTGGACTAACAAAGGGAAGCCACAGGGAAATCTAAAGAAGCGTCTTTGACGTTCTTAATACTGACACATTATCCCTTGGGGTTGAGGCCACTGAGGCAGTAGATGTTGCTACTGTTGTTAATTCCACCAGTTATGTTGGCACTAATTCACAGTTATGTATGTTTGGTGACAGATTGTCGTCTTATTATGACATGTGGGCCAGGATTACCACTGATAAATGGGTCCTATCTATTGTTGCCCACGGTTACATTATTGAGTTCCTAGACCTTCCCAGGGTTGGACATGTTCGAAGTACCCCTTTCTCTCAACCGTTATGGGAAGAGATTCAAATGTTACTACAGAAGGGTGCTATTTCCCCCGTTAATTCAGTTGATGTTTCGTATTTTTTTTCTCGCGTTATTTTCTAATTAAGAAACGTACTGGTGGCTTGAGACCTATTTTGGACCTGAGATTACTAAATAAACATGTTCGACCAAGGAAGTTTCGCATGGTCACTCTCAATACTATATTGCCCTTATTATTTAAGGGAGCTTGGTTTGCCACTATTGATTTAAAGGATGCCTACTTTCATTTGTCTATTGCTAAGCACCATCGTAGGTATCTTTCTTTTATGGTGGGAAATAGCCCATTTTGTTTCAATGTTTTACCTTTTGGTTTATCGGCTGCCCCAAGAGTATTCACTAAGTGTATGGCCGTTGTTGCGGCATACCTGCACACGAGGGGAATTTCTGTCTACCCCTATATAGATGATTGGTTAGTGGTGGCTGAATCACGTGTCCTACTTCAGTCACAACTTTCTATTATTTTGTCTCTTATACAGTCGCTAGGACTCGTGATCAACATGGAAAAATCGGCACTGGTCCCAACTCAACAAATCCAATTTATAGGCGCTCTTTTGGATTCCACGACCGAAAGGGCCTATCTTCCAGAAGACCGATTTGTCAACCTACAGGCCATGGTTCAACAAGCTGTCCGTGCTACATGCCTTACTGCCAAGCAGGTCCAGGTACTCTTGGGACATATGGCGTCTGCAACTGCGGTCATACCGTATGCCAGATTGAGTATGCGCCTGCTTCAATCATGGTTCATATCGGCATACAACCCACTACTAGACAGTCAAAACACTCTCCTTTCCATCCCTGAGTCTGTCCGCCAATCACTACTGTGTTGGGAGGACAGAGGGTGGGTGTGCAGGGGACACCCTTTTTATGCACCCAAGCCAACATGTGCAGTTACAACAGATTCTTCCCTATCGGGGTGGGGTGCTCATACTCAAGGCCTCACCGCTCACGGAGAGTAGACAGAAGAAGAAAGAACATCACACATAAATCTTCTCGAATTACTTGCTGTAGACAGAGCACTGAAATCCTTCGAGAGGGTCGTAGTAGGTCAGATCGTCCTAATCCTCACAGACAACACCACGGTCATGTTTTACTTAAACAAACAGGGCGGCACTCATTCCCTCCCCCTATTGAATCTCACTCTCCAGATCTGGGAGTGGTGTCTGGAGAGAAAGATTCACTTGCTAGCAACACATGTTCCGGGGGAGGAGAACACGCTAGCGGATTCACTCAGCAGAAATCCGCTTGCGAACCACGAATGGTCCCTCAACCAAGAGGAGGTGAACAGACTCTTCAAGGCGTGGGGTTGTCCGGAGGTGGACCTCTTTGCTTCCAAGACCAACACCAAGTGCGCTCTGTTCTGCGCACGCCGGCGCATCTCCCAACAGGAGGGATGTTTGGGAGACGCGTTCCTGCAGGGGTGGTCGGGTCGTCCGCTGTATGCTTTTCCTCCCTTTCCCCTGCTATTGAGAGTTGTAGCAAAGATTCAGAGGGAGAACGCGAGATGCATCTTAGTAACCCCTTGGTGGCCAAGACAGCCCTGGTTCTCTCCTCTGCTTCGAATGTCCAAGAGAGTTTTCTTCAGGTTCCCCAGCCGGGTAGACCTGTTGACGATGCAGGAGGGCCGGGTATTTTACCCAGAGGTAGAGAAATT